CTGACAAAGAAAAAGATAGACCACTCCTGAAAAACGGCACCCAAGGTTGGCCTATGACCCTCACATAAACACATGGCTTTGTGTTGGATGATTTCACCCAATTACAGGTTAACCCACATGCTAAGGCAGGCCAGCCTAAGCTATGATGTTCCCTAGATTTCTTGTATAAATGCACCTTCTACTTGTAATATTTTTAACTTACCATGAGCTTATCAGGCTACAACCCTATCACAAGATGAGAAGCATCTGTAGGACTCCAAGTCCTAAACTCAATTTGTCCCTCAGCTATTTCCTCAGTTCTCTTCAGTATCCATTCACTACCTAGGCATGGATGGTGCTATCCATCTGTTCACCAACTAGCTCATACATGAAGCCCAGAAACCTCAACTACTCCAGCTTCCTCAGCTATTGGAACAGTTGGTTCACTCAAGGTGTCTCCTGGAGTTATCAATGCCTCCTGCCAAGGCTTCCCTCCCTGCTGCTCTAGAGAGTCTCCTTACTCTACTAGCCATCCACCATTGCTCAGTGGCAACCCGGTCATTTAAATTCTCCTACACCTCTTTTCTACACTCTCCCAAAAGAGACAACTGCAATCTACTCCCACGGTACCATACCAAATCCTGTGTTGTTAGGGACATGCTCTCTTCCTCTATTCTTTTTCCTCTCCATTTCTCAAAGGCTGTCTAGCTACCAGTGATACTGTATCTTTCTTCAGGGCTGGGTCTTATTCGTCATTCTATCGTGATAGCCAAGAGAAGAGTAATCATTTCACCAAATTGGTGTTAAATAATTATTATTAAGCAAAAATGTGGAGTCACCCCAAAATTATTGTTTCTCTCTCTGCTTGGAGAAGTCATACATAAATACACTGGTCTAGAAATAAAACTTCTAGACCTTTCCAGTTTCACCGCTGTTTCCTACAAAGTATGTCTGACCCTGAAAGTACACTAGTCATTGCAAACCCTAAATTGCTCATCACTCTTACAAAGGGGTCAGTTGCTTTCCCTAAGGAACTGTAAGTTCGACACTCACACTTGCTGCCTGAGTACCACTAACACGCCCAATTCAAGCCACATAGCCGTACACTTTCTGGGCTATATTTCATTCCTGGCTACATGAGGAAAACTGGGTTTCTTTCTTTTTCTTGACTTAAATTTTAGCTGATACATGAAATTAGGTTTGCAAGGAGCTGAATGATAAATAGGCACGTTATCACGCAGTTTTATTTATGAGACAACTAAAATGTATCTTTTCTAACATTGGAGAACATTGCCTGCACAAGAGGGAGCCTGTATAAGGAAACTGTAAATCTACTGCGAACTATGGGATGGGACAAAGTACAGAATGTTCTCCCACAGAGTGGCCTTCTAGAAAGAACTGCATAAACTATGATAAGTGAATACACTTAAAAACAAAGGCATACGGGAAATGGTCTCACATGCCCACACATTATCTCTGTAAAAGAAGACAAAGACCTAAAAAAAAAAAATTCTTGGCTCTTTTCACAAGACATAACACCAAGTATATTCCCTTACTGTACTTGTATTCGCTTAAGTGAACTATAAATGTCACCTCATGTTTGCTTGCATTAATAATAAATATGAAAGTACTTTGTTTGCACTACTCTTGAGTTTGAATGCTTAAGAGTCCCCTGGCTACCCAACACAGATCTTTGGCATTTCCTTCAATCCTCAGAGACTAAACCTCACTGGCCTGGGTGGGTGTTGTAATCTAGGCACACTTGGCCCCGCCCCTTGAGGATCTGGCAGAGTGCCCACCCCTGCATGTATGCCAGGCAGTACCCTGGCTCTGTACACAAGTGCAAAGGTCCCTTTAAGAGACAAATTCAGAAAGGCTATGTGATAGGTGGGGTTTTAGTTGGGGGTGGTGGTAGGGGAGGACGGGAGGGAGTGGGAACTGGGATTGTCATGTAAAACAATCTTGTTTCTAATTCAAATAAAAAAATCTGAAAAAAAAAGAGACAAACTCCTCTCTCCCTCCCTCCCTCTCGCTCTCTGCCATTTCTCTGAGGCAGATAGATCCCTGTCTCTCTCTCTCTTTTCTGTCTCTCTCTTTCTCTCTTCTCTCTCTCCCCTTTCTCTTTCCCTTCCCCCACTCCCATGCTTCCTCAATAAAACTTCCTTCCCATGTAAGTCCTGTCGGATGGTGCGTTGTCGCTCACCTGACATGGGCGCCCTTTACATTCTTCGCATGACATTCTTAACAGTGGGACACCAGCACAGCTTCTCCAATTCCTCTAACATTTACTCCATGGGAAGGTACAGAGAAGACCAAGTAGAAATGGCTCATGGTGGAGATATACAGTGGGCAGGATGGATATTCAGGCAGACCCTGGTGCCACGTAGGGAGTGGGCAAGTTAAACAGATTTGTAGGAGAGTGAGTATGCTAATAAAAGCAGCTACATTCCAAGTCAGCGAGTCTCATACTCCACGCAGGAAATGGTAGCACCATGAAGGACACTGAGACAATGCAGCCGCACTTTGAGAGCTCACAAGAAGGCAGAAATCTAAAGGTTCTAATACAAAATCACACCAACGTTGGCAAGTGTTTCTGTTGCTTCTGTCATGTGATAAGAAGGATGGCCCCGCTGGGAGGAGGAAAGCCTGCTGTAGCCTACAGCTGGGGCTACTGTCCATCCACAGCAAGCCTGGCAGCAGAAGCAGCTGGTGACTATGGAATGGGAGCCTGCTCACATTCTTGCAAGTCAGAAACAGAGATCCTCAAATTCCACCCCAGCAACCTACTTTCTCTAACAACTAAAGGTTTCATAGCCCCCCCCAAACAGTGCCACCAGCTGAGGTTCAAATGTTCAAACAACACACACACACACACACACACACACACACTATGAGAGATAGTTTACATTAAAACCATAACAAGTGGTTCAAATTATGAAACAAACAAAAACTCTTTGCCAATTGAATACAACATGTAGGGCTGCCAATGTGTGATTTCTAGTATATACGATACCAAGTGGAGGAATGTTCAGAGACCTCTACAACAACACTTTATTCCTAAAACTGAACCCCTGCTTCACAGCTTTTAGTAACCAGATTCGAGTGTTAATCTTCTTTATCTGAATAACGATAACCGCGTGAGGATGAATAGCTCAGATGTACGCTGGTAAGACGGCTGACTGTGCTTAGTATGCAAGCATGAGACCCCAGTTCCAGTCCCCAGCACCCACAGAAAAGCCAGGCATGGTGGAGACTGTTTGCAACTCCAGTGCAGGAAGGTAGACACAGGAGGATCCTAGAAGCCCACACATCAGCCATTGTAGCCGATCAGCTTCAGAGAGAAACCCTACCTCAAAAGAGTAAGTTGGAGAGTAATATGGGAGGAGACCCAGCTTTGATGTCAGGCCTCCAGGCATGTACATCCTCAAAGGAAAAGAAAAAAAAAAAAACTCTAGTTTATATTAAACTTAATTATAACAAATTACATTAGAGCAGATATCATTTTAAAATTCATACTGTCATCACTAAAAGTGGTGGGCAGAAAGAATAAAGGAAGTATTTGTAACAAGTAAAAAACACTTTAAAAAGTTAAATAGTACAAGAATTCAGAATTGGTTGAGACAGAATGAAATACAGTTACTGTGCGTTAGAAGAAGGTGGGCTACATAAGGAAGGCGAGATGAACGTTCCGTGGAGCCCGGGAATTTGGTAACCAGCCTGCCAAAGAACAGGAAAGCAGAAACCTGCTGGAGCCAGTTGAAGCAGAGCTGGTGAAATAGCGCCCCCTCCTGGCTACTGAGCTGATGCACGCTACTAGTTTTATAATGCAAATCTCACAGGATCTTCAGTAAAATCTACATTTCCTCCTTTTTTCTTAATTCAGTGGGGAAGGGGATGAAGCACTGTACCCCCACTTAAGGCTGTTACACAGTCACACAGGACACCGGGAGTGCCGGCCAAAATCCACACCACACAGAAAGACCTGCATTCCTGTGCAAGTGTTTGGACCTTGGCAAAACCTGAGGGAAGACAACACTCGCTCAGGTTCTGAAAGCACGGAAATCCTCCTTGAGACAGGATTGAAGTGTTTCAGGATACAAAACTCAGACTTCATCTGAACCTGCTGTTCCAAATGATCTTCGGGAAGTAAATGATGACTTCCTGAAGATCTGTAATGAGGATTTCAATAAACTTCAGCACATACCGGTGCTTTCAGGATATAAGTAGGGCCAAAACAAGCTTTTTCCAGGACTGATGTGAAGAGAAATTATTTTGGCTGAAGAACTTGAGATATTTATAAATATTTATCTTCTTGCTTTCATGCTACTTTAAAAGCATAAAAACCGGGTTGTCTTCGAGTTCAGTTCTTTGTCACGGTATCTCACTGGAAATGCTCCTGTGAAATGCATCCCCCTTCCAGAAGGTGGTAGCTGGCCTGTCTGGTTAAGATGTTCCTTTCTGGTGCGCACTTCCCTCCTGGGAACTAACTGGAGTTGGTCCCATTGCACACTCCTGACAGCATTCACCAATAGCACAGAGCTATCTGTGTGTGCATCTCTGCTTCCTCTCCAAGTATGTTTTCTTTACAGAAGAACAGAAGACTTGACCATCACAGACCACCTACATTTCAACTTCCTATAGAGAAGCATCCAGAGCCAGGTCACTAAATAGGCAGCTACCGTGCTAATCCTGCCCAGAGAGCGGTGTGCCAGTGTGCGGTGTGGCCGTGTGGCCCTCCCTAAAAAAACTGCTTTCCTTATGTTCAAAAAATAAAATTAAACTGAAACAAATTTCCAGTCGACATTTCAAGACCACATTATGATCATGGGTAAAGCATACAAGTATAGACGCTGAGAGAGGAAAATTCTCTACATATTTTCCACTGAACCACTACAATAAAACAACAGAACAAGGGGAAAAAACCACAGTGTTTTAGAAAACAACTAACCTGAAATATTTACTGTAGAAAGCGTGTTAAGAATTCAAAAATAAAGATACTGAATGATATCAACGTCACTCACCAATCACAATCGAAGCCTCACAGTGGTAATAACCATTACTTTGTTTTTTCTTCAGCATGGAGCAGAGATCTATCTGGTACAGTATTTCTTCTCCAAATCTGTGGTTGATAAATTGTTCATATAACTCGGGCTCTATTTTCTTCACTCCCTTGAAATGACAAAACAAAATCATGTCAATCTATCATTTCACCGGGGCAGCAGTTCATATTTCTATCAGTCTCTCAGAACCTGAGATTACATTTTGGAGTCAGACTGTCTCCTGGCGCCATGGAACTGCTGTGGAGTTGTTGTTGAAGTCTCACACCTGGCATGGGCTGTGTTAAAGCCATCAATTAAGAGTGCTAAATTATGTGGCAGCACTTGGAGCCTCACACATCTTTTGGCTTCGGAATTATGAAAGCCAAGGACAGAGTAACCATTTGCAATGGGACAGATGTGTGGGTGAATGACTTTAGAATGGTGCATATCTTAGAATTTTAGAGCGAGGACAAACGAAGTTCTAATAACACTAACTCGGATTATGTAAGCCCTTACATAAAAATCACCTGACGACAAAACTGATTTGAGCTGGGACAGTGAGACAGTGGCTCTTCTGTATCTCCATTGGTCTCTCCTCATTGTCCATACAGCAGAGGCGGCTTGATGCTGGAAACTGTAGTGAGGTGCTCTCCACCACTGTAGTTTCCCAGCAGGAAATAACACCCCTCCTTCCCCAACATCATGCAGTGTTCTGACACCTTAACCCAAGTCCTGATGAGACACAGTCTATGAGTTTCACTTTTTTTTTTTTTGCAAATTTTTACTTTTTAACTAATAAAAATTTCCGTTTGCTAATAAAAATTTATAGAAAATTTTAAATAAGAACAGGAAACCATGTGATTTTGTTCTGTTTCATTTTTCCTATGCAAATGAAAAATGACTTTTTACTTTTCACCTGGATATGGTTTTAACCTCAGTACTTCTTGAAAACCAGTTCCATTATTTCAGCAAGTATGCCAAGTCAATAACAATATACAGATTTGCAAAATGCTTTTGTCTCTCTCTCTATGTGCTCTCTAAGTATCATGTCATTTATCCAACAAGCTGCTTCCCTTAATACTTAACGGTATAATAAAACATGCCTGTGCTCTGTTTACACTGGCCTCCTGCTCTTAACTGCTCCCCCCATACACACACAGTTTGGTAATTCTATTCTACTTGCACAGGCTGAACACTTTGGGGGATATCCTTGATAAAATCCAATACCTCTTCATAATAAAAGTCCTGGAGAGATAAGAGATACAAGGGACATACTTCAAAATAATAGAAGCTATTCGAGCACACCTACTGCCAACAACGATGTAAATGGAGAGGAATTCAAAGCATTTCCACTAATCAGGAATAAAACAAGGCCATCTGCTCTCTCCATATCTATTCAGTACAGTACTTCAAGTATTAGCTAGAACAATAAAAAGACTGAAAGAGATCAGGGGGATATACATAGGAAGGGAAGAAGTCAAAGTATCTTTATTTGCAGATGATATGACAATATAAATAAGTGACCCTAAAAATTCCACCGGGACGCTCCCTACAGCTGACAAACACTTTCAGCAAAATAACAGTATACAAAATCAATACACAAAACTCAGTAGCTCTCCTGTATACAAATGACAAACAGACTGAGAAAGAACCCTCACAATAGTCTCAAAAATAATGAAATTTTTGTGGCAACTCTAAGCAAGAAAGTGAAAGGCTTGATTAATAAAAAAAAAAAAAAAAAAAAGATGAAGGCAGTAAAGAAAGAAATAGAAGAAGATATCAGAAGATAGATCTTCCTGGGCCAGTAGGATTAATACAGTAAAAACAGCATTCTACCAAAAGCAATCCATAGATTCAATGCAATCCCAATCAAAATCCCAACACTATTATTCACAGAACTTGAAAGGATCATTTCAGCTTCATGTGGAAACACAAAATCCCCAAGATAGCTAAAACAATCCTGAATAATAAAAGAACTGCCAGAGGCTTCACCATTCCCTATTTCAAATTGTATTACAGAACTATAGTAATAAAAATGGCCTGGTATTGGCACACACACACACACACACACATACACACAAAAAACAACAACAACAACAACAACAAAAAAAAAACAGATTAAGTTGATTAGTGGAATTCAACTGAAGACCCAGAAATAAGGGCACACACCTATGGACACCTGATTTTTGATAAAGAAGCCAGAAGTACATACTGAGGGGGAAAAGACAGTATCTTCAACAAATGGTTCTGGTCAAATTGGATGGCTGCATGTAGAAGAATGCAAATAGATTCATACTTATCACTCGGTACAAAGTCCAACTTCAACTGGATCAAGGACCTCAATATAAGGCCAGACACACCGAATCTGATAGAAGACAAGGAACAGTCTTGAACACACTGGCACAGGAGACAACTTTCTGAACAGAACACTGTAACGGTAAGTCTTTTTACTCCAGGCAGCCCGAACCCTGCTGCTACATGGACACTTTCTGCCAGGCCACCCGAGTTCTGCCTGCCACCATGTTAAGGTCCCAAGTAACACAGAGAGACTTATATTAGGTACAAATGCTGTTTGGCCAAAGACTAGAATTTCTTATCTGCTAGCTCAGTCTTAATTATCATAAATCTATATATTATAATCTTATATAATCTATATAAGACTTATCTTATTAGATGCCAGTGACCTGTCTTCCTGGGTTCACATGGTGGATGACTCTGAGCAGAGAGCAGGAGGAAGAGTGAAAAGGGATGACTTCCTTCTTGCCCTTGCTTATATATGCGTCTCCCTGCTATATCACTTCCTGCCTAGATCACCACTTCTTTACTACATTTCCCAGAATCCTTCCTTGACTCCTATTCCCTCCTAACTTGCTGCCTCATTGGCCAAATAGTACTTATTTATCATCCAATAAGACAAACACATGCACAGAACATCAGAACACTTTAGTGCCAACACTAAAAACAGTGATTAATAAAATGGGAACTCATGAAACTGAAAAGCTTCTGTATGGCAAAGGATACCATCATTTGAACAAAGCAGCAGGCTATAGAAAGGGAAAAGATTGTTACCAACTCCACATATGGTAGAGGACTGTGTACGTATGTGTGTGTGTGCAGGCACATACATATATATAATATAATATAATATAAGATACAAGAAAACACATAACCCAATTAAAAACTGGGGAACAGCTTGAAACAGAGAATTTTTTTTTATTTGTTGGTTTTTCTGAGACAAAAAAACTTTGTGTAGCCCCAGCTGTCCTGGAACTCACTTTGTAGACCAGGATATCCTCAAACTCACAGAGATCCACCTGCCTCTGCCTTCTATCACTGCCAGGCTAACTAGAGAATTCTCAACAGAGGAATCTCAAATGGCTAAGAAACACTTAAATGTTCAACATCCTTAGTCATCAGGGAATACAAATCAAAATGACTTTGAGATTTCATCTTACACCAGTCAGACCCATAAAACAAATGACAGCTCATGCTGGTGAACGTGCAGTAAGGGCAACACCCATCCATTGCTGGATACACACTATGGAAATCAGTGTGGTGGTTCCTCAGGAAGCTGGGTATAAATCCATCTCAAGATCCAGCATTACCACTCTTGGACATATGCCTAAAGGCCATTTCACCTACTACAAAGACACTTCATCAATCCTATTTATTGTTGCTCTATTCATAATAGCCAGAATTGGAAACAGCCTTGATGTCAATCAATGAATAAAGAAAATGTTGTTTCTTTATACAAGGGAGTATTACTCAGCTGTTTAAAAAATAAAATCATGAAATTTACAGGTAAATGGATGAAACTAGGACAAACTATCATGAGTGAGGTAACCCAGATCATACAAAGTAACATCTAGTCAGAGGCCTAGGTCTGTGGGAGGCAAATATGGTATATATTTGCTAATATTTGGATTTTAGCTGGTAAGTCTCCAATATGCAAGCTACAATCCATGTAACCATGGGCTGGGTATAGAGTAAGGGACTGGGGTCAGGAAGAAGATGGATCTCCCTTAGATGGAGAAATAGACTACACAGTTATGGATGGGTGAGGGTGGGGGCAACTGGAATGGAAGGATCAAATGGAGTGGGGGAGAGAGGTTGAGGGAGGGAATACAGAATGGACAGATAAAACTAAGAGCCATTTGGGGAGTCATATGGAAATCTAGTGCAGTACAAGCTCTTTAAAATTTATATATGCAGGAAGGCTATCTAAAAGAAATAGCCTAATAATGGAAACATGGCACTCCAACTGGAAATCTCTCATCACCAAATAAAGTTTCCAGTACCAGAAATCGGTTACATCTAATTGAGTTGGTGGCCAAAGGAGCCCCATTGGGAACCCCCAAACAACCCATGGTGCTGCCAGAGGTATTGACTGCTCTCCAAAAACTGACAGTGAGGCACTATTGCTGAAGATAACACCTATGGAACTCACTGAACATGGAGAAATCAAGCCGGTGCCCACCTAAAGCCTTCAATCCTACTCGCTAGTGTTCATGGTCCTGAAAGGTACTCTATAGGCTGTCATCAGAGAAAGGTAAACACCAACCCAGCTACCAAACCCTTCAATATACTATGATGACCTGCCTGCAAGGTGTGCTAGTGCAATAGTGATGCAAAGCTTGTGGGAATAACCAACCAATATGTGATCAATCCCATGAAAAGGAACCTATCCCTAACACTGCCTGGATAGCCAAGGACATCAGACCAGATAGGCCAAAGACCTAGGGGGGGAACCAAATACTACTGTTCTGCTAAAGGATTGTAGCAATAAAATGCATCCTAACAACATTGTGCTAGACATAGATCAGTTCCTTTCCACAGCCATTATCAGTGAAATTTCCTCCTGCAGTAGAAGGGAACAAATATAGAGACCTACAGCCAGATAAATGCAAAGAGGTAGAGATCTTGGGGCACTCAGTCCTAACTGGGATGCCTCCATCAACTTCCCTCCCCTCAGGGCTCAAGGAAGCCTGCAGAACAGGAAGTGGAAAGAAGGTAAGAGCCAGAGGGGATACAAAACACCAATAAAACAAGGCCTTTAAACACATCAGGACCAAAGCACAACTGAATTCACAGAGACTGTGGCAGCATGCACAGGGTCTGCAGGAGTCTGCA